TGTCAGATATTTTGCTGGGACATAGATTTTTGATACTCAAGAAGGGAATTAGTTATGGAGTACATTTTTTTAAAGGGTGATAGGCTTCTAATTTAAAACGATTGATTAATGGATTCAAAGCATAATTGAGATCCATATCGAAGCCGGGATTACTGTTAGAATGAATGTATCATTCCCTTTCTAACTGAATATGTAATTTAGTATTTAATTCAGTGGGGTGTAAGGGCTGTCGCCTAATGGTCATTGGATATTGAGAAGTTGATACCGGCGTATTTGCCGTTAGTATCTTACATGGTCTTACTATCTGGGTCCGTTTTGAATTTTGGAATTCGAGGGAACCAGGGGTATTTTAAAATCAGGGGGTGAAACTTTTAGGGGTGGTGGCTTTGATGCTGTAGTTATTGGGACGGCTGAATTGATTTGAAGTAGTGGCTCAACGAAGGATCGCGTTGAGGTCGGCTTTGCAGTGGGGGTTGTAGTAGTAGAAACAGGAGTGAGAGAAGATCCTCAAAATCTCTCAAGTCGTCATCAAGTGTTGCGTCCATAGTTGAATCAGTTGGTATATCCTAGAACAGTAGAATTTTTTTATTAGACTGGGTTTGTTGGGTGATCCAAGTTTTGAGTTCTTCTCTCAAAACTTGTTAATTGGATGTGAGGATACATGCGATCCTTGTTTATTTTATCAATTTCCTCTAAAAGAGGGGCTTGTATTTTTTGATCATATTCTCGTTCTATTTTTCAGTTTGCTCATCTTGAGTGAAAATTGAGGTCATTATGGAAGTGAAAAGTATATTGTATGAGGCGGCAAGCAATACTTTGCCAAAGTGTAGTGAGCGGCCGGTAATTTTGTGAATATGCATAGCCTTTATTATGAATACTAGGCAATCTAGTTTGAATTTCACAAATAGAAAAGAGGCGAAGACTATTCCGCATTTTTCTAAATAGTATTGTACTTTCCCGAATATACGGGTGTATTTGTTTTTTCCAAAAGTTTGGAGAGATGAGATAGTCCAAATATATTGTTTGGGAAGAGCCTAGTGGGCTATATGAGTCCGTGAAAAGAAATTTTTTAGCATTTAGAAAGGACCTGGATACTTTTTGCAGTATTCCTTTCATCTCTGAATTATCGGAAATCATATTCCAGAATTTTTGCATTTGAGCATAAGATTAAAGCGCCTTGGCTAGAGGCTAAAGAATGCTTAATCTGTTGAACTATCTCTTTTGGTTTAAAGAGATATGGTCTTGTAACCCTTGTAATTTGAGGGGTTAATTCAATCCAGGACTTATCATCATCAACATCTAGTTGAAAGAGATTTGAATGTTTGTCGGAGCAGTCTTGTAGATCTGCCGACTGAAAAGTTTGTCGCGTAATTGGATCGACAAATCGAATATTTTCCTTATACATAATGGGAATGCGATTATAGCATTCATCCATTAATTGCAAAGGTGAATAAAATTTCGGACAATGGTAGAGCCAGGCAACATTGCCATTGGTCTCTAAGAACATAGAGCGGTTCTGAGTTAAAATAAAGCCAGCCAAGCGTGGGCTTTCAAGTGAAAGCATTAAAGTATTTAATTTTGATGAGCGTTCTAGCTCACATTGATTTTGCAGAAGGGCTAACTCGGCCGTTCTGAGCATGTAGAAGCTATTAAAAAGAATATAGTCCAATTTGGTTCCTATATGAGCTTCGTAGTCAATTTGACTAGTTGAGAATTTGAGTGGCGGCAAATCATCACTTGTTGTGAGAAAAGTAGAATTTGGTTGGCCGGCCTTGTGAATAGTTCCCGTTTCTGGGGTTGGTTTAACTTGGATTCCAGTATCCATATTGAAACCGTCAGTGTATGCAATAAAAAGTGAATCATATGAAGTGGGATACACTATTCTGGGATGACCACAAAGAGATTGCGGTTTATTCATCACCTGTAGCATGAATTTTTGAGAATCCTTTGTTTGGGTAGAATGAATAGACAGGGCTAGAATTGCCTTTAATTATATAGTATGATTCTTCGTTTTGAATCATTTTAGCCGGAAATCTGTTTAAAAATGCAATTTTTGGGTTCTTCCCAAGTATAAGCAAAAGCGTCTAAGGATGTTGTTTCACATCCATTTGTAGACACTGGACAGGGCAAAGGAATGTTTTGCCAATTATTGACTGTTCCATCCTTGAGGTTAACAGTTAGAGTTACATTTTGCATGTAAGTTTCAAAAGTGTCCAGTTTAATCCAAGAACGGCCATCACATTCATTATGATATTTGCCGTCAACTTTGCCAGCATGGGCATTAGTTACTGTTTTAACATTATATTTGAAAGGAATATTTCCAATACTAGCATAGCCTAGGTTAAGATAGCCTCTGTCGGCGGCCGATTATCATTGATCGGCAGATAAATGGAGATCAGTAGTGATCATATTTTGTCGAGCGTCGATACCACTCGAATCAAAAGAATCGCAGAACCAACGCATTGATTGGTGTTTGATTCGCCACATTGTTGCATTTACTTTTGCGCGATAATGTCTCTAATAAAGAGTAACATAAGCATGGGTTACTTTAATATTTTCTGGTTGGACTTTGCAAGGTGATACTTTATTTAGAGAGAACATTTTGTTAGAAGTCATTAGTTGACAATCATAATGAGCAACCCGAAGATTGTTTGCAGTATTTGCATACAATTGTTCTTTCGGATCAAATAGATACTTTTTGCAGTATTCCTTTCATCTCTGAATTATCGGAAATCATATTCCAGAATTTTTGCATTTGAGCATAAGATTAAAGCGCCTTGGCTAGAGGCTAAAGAATGCTTAATCTGTTGAACTATCTCTTTTGGTTTAAAGAGATATGGTCTTGTAATCCTTGTAATTTGAGGGGTTAATTCAATCCAGGACTTATCATCATCAACATCTAGTTGAAAGAGATTTGAATGTTTGTCGGAGCAGTCTTGTAGATCTGCCGACTGAAAAGTTTGTCGCGTAATTGGATCGACAAATCGAATATTTTCCTTATACATAATGGGAATGCGATTATAGCATTCATCCATTAATTGCAAAGGTGAATAAAATTTCGGACAATGGTAGAGCCAGGCAACATTGCCATTGGTCTCTAAGAACATAGAGCGGTTCTGAGTTAAAATATAGCCAGCCAAGCGTGGGCTTTCAAGTGAAAGCATTAAAGTATTTAATTTTGATGAGCGTTCTAGCTCACATTGATTTTGCAGAAGGGCTAACTCGGCCGTTCTGAGCATGTAGAAGCTATTAAAAAGAATATAGTCCAATTTGGTTCCTATATGAGCTTCGTAGTCAATTTGACTAGTTGAGAATTTGAGTGGCGGCAAATCATCACTTGTTGTGAGAAAAGTAGAATTTGGTTGGCCGGCATTGTGAATAGTTCCCGTTTCTGGGGTTGGTTTAACTTGGATTCCAGTATCCATATTGAAACCGTCAGTGTATGCAATAAAAAGTGAATCATATGAAGTGGGATACACTCTTCTGGGAAGACCACAAAGAGATTGCGGTTTATTCATCACCTGTAGCATGAATTTTTGAGAATCCTTTGTTTGGGTAGAATGAATAGACAGGGCTAGAATTGCCTTTAATTATATAGTATGATTCTTCGTTTTGAATCATTTTAGCCGGAAATCTGTTTAAAATGCAATTTTTGGGTTCTTCCCAAGTATAAGCAAAAGCGTCTAAGGATGTTGTTTCACATCCATTTGTAGACACTGGACAGGGCAAAGGAATGTTTTGCCAATTATTGACTGTTCCATCCTTGAGGTTAACAGTTAGAGTTAAATTTTGCATGTAAGTTTCAAAAGTGTCCAGTTTAATCCAAGAACGGCCATCACATTCATTATGATGTTTGCCGTCAACTTTGCCAGCATGGGCATTAGTTACTGTTTTAACATTATATTTGAAAGGAATATTTCCAATACTAGCATAGCCTAGGTTAAGATAGCCTCTGTCGGCGGCCGATTATCATTGATCGGCAGATAAATGGGGATCAGTAGTGATCATATTTTGTCGAGCGTTGATACCACTAGAATCAAAAGAATCGCAGAACCAACGCATTGATTGGTGTTTGATTCGCCACATTGTTGCATTTACTTTTGCGCGATAATGTCTCTGATAAAGAGTAACATAAGCATGGGTTACTTTAATATTTTCTGGTTGGACTTTGCAAGGTGATACTTTATTTAGAGAGAACATTTTGTTAGAAGTCATTAGTTGACAATCATAATGATCAACCCGAAGATTGTTTGCAGTATTTGCATACAATTGTTCTTTCGGATCAAATGCTGAGGTTTGATTCGAAAGTATAATTAGAGTTAAAAGACCAACCAAATAAATTTTTTGCAAATTTATTTTTTGGTGGCGAATGATAGCAAAATAATTTTTAAAAGTACTCACTTTAAGCATTTCCTCGAGAGTGGTTAGAACAGGATCTTGGTCCATTAGTTCACCTTCCTCTAGTTCACTATTTGGACTTGTCATTTTGTGGATGTTTTGATGGGAAATCTGAGTTTGATTTTTTATTTTTGTTGAGAAAATAAGCAGATTTATTTTTTTTGGAGAGAGAGGTTTAGAATGCAAGATGTGGAATTGAGCAAGAATGGAAATAACTGTATATCAGTTAGTTTTTAAAGGCTGTTTTTGCTTTTTTTGCAAATCTAAGCTCTGATTGGCCGTTGTTGTGCGGCGTCTCTCGTTTTAATTCGAATTTCCTTCGGCATTCGTTTTGTAATATTGTGGTTTTTTCCACTTGTTTAATGTCGTGGTTTTCCACTTAGTTTTGATTTGTTGAGATCTAGCAGTGAAATGATTTTTATTCGTTTATGCTGATGTTAGTTTTTAACAACTGCATTCCCCTTCCCTATTGGAGGAGGAAAAAAAAGATTGAAAAAACATCTCTTCATAAAGAGGACGAAAAGCAACATCATTTATTTGCTTTCTGTTTAAACTTCATCTGTCATTACATTATTTAAAAAAATTTTTTGCTTCCTCAAAAAATGAATTATATTGAGCCTGAAGACAATCTGGTGGATTTCCCGGAGAAATTTTTGAATTTACGGGATGAGTTAAACTTCAAACACGAAGCCTTGCTGGAGGACAAGGAAGTTGAGAGGAGGGTGGCAATTTACGATGGGCTAGTAGAGAAAGGGGTTAATTTGACACCGATGGAGTTAATGATTTTTATGGACCGGAGTTTTATTTGGAAATATCCGGTACTAAATGCCGGTGAATTATTTGAGTTGGGCTCAATTCAGAGCGAGTTCATTGCCAAGAAACTGTGGAGTCCATGGGTGGGAGACGATGTGGTCTCAAGAGAAACAATGGACTTTTTGTCCTTATTCTTTGGAGAGGATGTAAGTTTCTTTTACAATGCACCCAAGAATAAAAAATAAATTTTTTTTTATTTAAGTGACTTGGCAACATAGAACTAGTATATAAATTAGTTTTAGTTTCAAGAAGAATTCTTCAGAAGACCAGCAACAGAAGAAGATTTTCGGAAAAAGATAGAGCTGGACATCATATTAGAAGAAATCTATCAAGCTTGGTGGCGGCCTTATTCAGCACTGCAGTTTGCAGTGAGGAGCCTGAGTAGGGTCGCTGAAAATTCTCTGGAAAAGATGGCGGCTGTTAAACTGATCAAATCCTACACGGATATAAAGTCTAACCTTTATAAAAGTTATTTTTAAATCTATTTGTGAATATGTTTACTTTTGGTGTTTTTGTGGTTTTATTACAAACAAAATATTTATAAAAGTGAAAAAGAAAAGGCCAATAAAAAAGAAAGTTAAAAAAAATTATTGAGTTTGGCCGAATAAATACTTAGTGTTTATTATTTCTTTTTAAATTTGCCAATTATACTAGATGGAATTGTAGTTCCATAAAAGTTTGTAGGACGATTTGTCCGTTTAGGTCTTTTAGATTCGGAAAGTGATCCAGGTGCGAATCGAGTGTTCTCATAGAAGCTTTCCTGAGAGCTATGAGGGATATTTTTTCCATCAGTAAAGCTTTCTGATGATTCAGATAAACGAGGGAAATCAGGAGGACGGGGAGTATTATATTGTGTTGTTATATTTTGGTGGCGGCGGCCAAAGTCATTTGCGAGACTAGTATTAGGACTTATACTGCGGCTAGGTAGGCGGCGGTGGCCATAACTACTAGATTGACTAGTCGAAGGATTAGGGGTTTTATCAACAGGATAGGGAGTTGAACTTCGAATAGGTCTAAGATTCTGGTCAATCGCAGTTGCATCGAACAAAGTTCTTAGATGCATGGTTTCTCTGCCTGAATCTAATGATTGTTCTTGTACAATGGTTTTATTTTGATCCTCATTTGTAGGGTTATGATCAGTCATTTGCTGATAACCATTGTTGACTACTGGCCAAAACTGGTATTGTAGATTTTCAACCTGTTTAGCTTTATTGAAAGAGTCGATTCGATGATTTGTTATATGATCATAAAAATCACTTGAAAATAAATCACTAGAGTACTCTTGTAGTGGTTTGGGCATTTGTTGTTCTTTAGGAAAGTATTCAACAATATGATTGCGGTGGACAATCTTTTTTTCGTTAGTGAAATCATTTTGAATTCCGTATGTTACTTCCGTGATTTTTTCAATAACGGTGTAAGGTCCAGATCTCAAATTCAAAAGTTTTTGAGATTTCAATAGTGGTTTGGATCTATTTTCTAGTAACACTTTTTGTGCCTTCTTTTATATGCCGTCCTAATTTAAATTGATTTCGGAACATGTGGGCCTTATTAGTGATGCGGCGGCAATGGGTATAGGTGTTACTATAAATCAACTTGAAATCATTTTCCCTTTTTAGTATTTCGGCGGAAATTTGATTTTTTGGGAATCTATCTATGGTCTCATTGTTTGACTTATGCTCGGTATGAGCATGATTTTCGAGACCAGCGCAAAATTCAGAGTTACATCTTTTGTTTTGGTCACGGTAGAGGCCTAATTTAAGGCTAAGGGGAACCTGAGGTTTTATGCCAAAGACAATCTCACATGGAGTGTAACCTGTACTTGAATTAATGGTGGTGTTATGTGCAAAAGCAAACTTATTTGTAAATTCAGACCAGTTTGAGACTGAGGTACTCAAGAAATGTCGAAAGTACTGGGTTAAATGTTTATTCTGGACTTCAACTTTTCCGTTAGTCCAAGGCGAGTAAGTAGTTCTTGGCCTCAGGGTTATTCCCAATTCAGAGGACCAATGAGCAAAGTCATTACTCATGAATGCACTTCCATTATCATGAATAATTTGTTGTGGAATACCAAATGTTGTGATGTATTTCTCTAAGAGCTTAATGGTTTCCTTAGAGTCTGCATGGATAGACTTGAAGATATCTAGAGAAGGCATCTATCACAACTAAGCAAAAATTTTGCCGTGACTTGATGGTCTGAGTGGAGCTTTATGATCAATGTGGATCGTTTTCATTGGGATTGTTTCTAATTGTCCCCATTGTTGTAATGGAGCTTCTTTCAGGTCTTTTCGTTTAGGTTTATTTTTCTGACATTCTAGGCAATCATGAAGAAGCATGTTGACCCATTTATAGAGTCCGGGCCAATAGAAATATCTTTTGATTATTTCCAAAGTTTTTGTTTCGCCGTGATGACCGCTAAGAGGATGCTTATGAGCTAACTCAAAGCAGTTTAGCACTAGGGAGATGGGTAAGCAAATTTTTGGACTCTTAGTATAGTCATCATTATATTCATTATTACATAGAAGATTATGTTGGTCTTCAATGAATAATAATTCAAACTGCCTGATACAAGCTTGTAATCCTTTTTCTTCGCGGTAAGGATTTTTTTGTTTCTTTCTGGCTTTTCGTTTTGCTTTATGCAATTTTTGATGTCTATGATTACAGTATCATTACACTGCTCTTGCATAATTGTTTCAACGTCTAAATTTGCTTCTTTAGCAAAGTCGGTCATTTTTGTTATCAGTTCAAGAGAATCTGATTTATTCTCTTCAGATTGGAGATTTAGGATTTCAATTAACTTCAAAGATCTTGTTTTGGCGGCAAATTCATTTTTTGCTTTAACCAGATCGTTGAGAAGGTTGTTCTCGACATTGCCTTCATATAATTCAAACCATTCTGAATTTTCCAAAGGATCATCAAGCGCAGATACTTCATCTGGAATTTCTTCATAAATGTTTTCATTGTTTATATCTGGTATAGATAGTCGTTTGATTTGGTTAATTTGTTTGCCAAATCGGAAGAAATCTTTTATATTTTGAATTGCACTACAAGATTCCTCAAAATATTCTGGAGCATCTTCAATGCTGAAGTCTCCTCTGTCACTGATATTGATTAATTTCTTTTTCCCGCCTTGCACTTGCGCAATGACTGGATAGCAATCGTTTTGAAATATGTTATTATCGTCTCCATGGAGTACTGAATAACATATTTGTTCTCCGTTGTCTAGGATGAACTTTATATCATTCGGAATAGTTTTGTGTTCAAGTTGATATTTTTTGATATCAGCGATGGGTACATTTCGGCTCAATAAGTCAGGAAAGGCTCGGTTTGAACCTGGGGTATAGATTATTTTTAAATTGTTGAACTTTGTCAATACGACTTGGTATTTGAAAAATCTATGCGAAAGTTGTCCTTTTCTGGACCATAAGAAGAGAATAGGTCTGTGATCACAATATAGGTATGGAGGAAATGGTGAACCTATAATGTAGAATTCATAGGTTTGCAAAGCAGATATTATTCCACATAGTTCACGATGTTGAGTAGACATTTTCTGCTCGGCCTTATCAAAGACTCTAGAATTGGCAGAAACAATTCTTTTCCCTTCAGGAAGGTCTTGGATGAGTATACACCCGGTTCCTACATTTGAGGAGTCGGCATGAATGTGGAATGGGTAGTTTACATTAGATATGGCATTTGAAATACCATGACAGAATTTGTCTTTCAGTTTTTGAAAAACTTCTTCATGGCATGGTAGCCATTGAAACTTGTCGTTACTGTTTGCCAGTTCATAGAGACACTTTGCGTCTACGTGAAAATTGATGATATATGTGCTGTAGAATCCCATGACCCCTAATACTCCTAGAACTTCTGTTTTTGATTCAGGGGATTTCAATTTTTTTATGTCATCGATTCGTGAAGCGATTGGAGAAAGACCATCTTTAGAGACAACATGGCCTAGAAATTTAACTTTTCTTAGGAAGAAAAAAGTTTTGTCAGGGGCAGCTTTGAAGATGGCCTTCCGTAAAAGAGAATGATATTCTCGAATTGTGTCAAACATTTCATTTTTATTTTGACTCTGTAACAGAGTGTCGTCTATGTAAGTAATTGCTTTTCTTTCTTTCATGAGGGGTCCGAAGGCATATCTCATTAATTTACTGAAGAAATTTGGAAGTGGTTTCAAGCCATAGAAACCAACTTGGTAGGTATATTGTCTATCACCTACGATAAAGCTTGTTGATTTCTGGGCCTCATCTGTTAAAGGTACTTGATGGTAGGCGCAAGAGAGATCAATACTTGTGAAGTACGATCCGTTTATTCTGGTCATGAGAACTTGTAGTGGTTCTAATGGCCAACTACAATTGCTAGTATCTGTGATTGAGTTTAGATACCTAGCATCCAAGACCAACTTAACGTAGTCTTTTTTTGGAAGAATGATGACTGGATTTACGAACCATGAGTTCATATCATCTTTTTCATTTAGTTCTCTGACTATGCCTGCTTGGATTAATTCATCCATTAACTTGTCCAATTGATCTCTTAGATGGACTGGGATTTTACTAGGTCGTTGTTTTTTGAACGTTGCGTCCTTTTTGAGTGGTATATGAAATTTATGTTTTGTTTTTCCAATATCATATTTGTGATGAGAATAAACATCTTGATCCTCTATCAGCATTTGAATTAGATCTGCAAATTCATCATCCGATATATCACTTTGTGTGAAATCGAAGTCAGATAAGAATTTAATAGTAGTTTCGATTTTTTCCAAAGTACTACTATTGTCCTTATCAATTGAGGAGTATTGGGTAAACGTTTCGTTGACTAGAAAGGCAATTTTCCGATCATTATGTTCTTTGTTTTGGTACTTTTTAAATTGTTCTTTCAAGGGAGGCCTGCAAAGGTTCTTTGCATCATTAGAAAAGTCGGTTGCTATTTCGTTTTCATTTTTGCATACTTTGACTATATCTGAACCAATTTGTTCAAATATTTCTGATACATTTTCTGTATCAAACACTTCAAGGGCAGGCATGTCCTTGATTTCTTGTCCTGAAACATAGACAAATATAGTAATTCCAGAATGTTGGAATACATCGACAATGATTTTGGAAACTTCTTCCCAATTCATTTTATCTAAGCCACAAGCAATTTTAGGCATTGAGATAGATCGAATGTTATTTGCTATAGCATAATCTTTCATTTTGGACAAGGTATTGAATATAGCGTCGTAAGTGGGTTTCTGAAAGTACCTCTGTTTGGTAATCAGGTTATATATGATTTGTCCAGATTTTGGATCAGTGAAGATGAGAATATCGTTAATGTTAGCATGTATTGAGTTACAAAAGTGTCGTAGCTCAGGATACCTTTTGCTAATTGATTCAGCAAACCCTTTTTCATTGCTCTATCTGCAGAGATTGTATGGGCAATGGGCATATTCGATTCGAATATGGACCTTTTTTT